CGACAGTAAGAAGTGGCTCGACTTTGCTCAGAGAACTGACTCGGTCCGAGTCAGAATACAGGGAGGTCGAGTCAACACGGGTGCACACCGAGTTAGAAGCTAATAGAGCTTCTAAACCTTCCAGAGAGTTGACTCGAACCGAGTCAATACTTGACTCGGTCGAGTCAGAACGCAGAAACTCGAATTTTTCCTCATTTCCGTCCTCTAATGCCTGTGTAAGCTCCCAAATATCCTTCCAGTTGTTGAAATTGAATTTTTCGAATTGAACTTGATTCACTCACCGTTGAGTTCTTTTGTCTCTTAGAGGGTCGTGGGTTAATTTTGGATTGAGTTTTTTCTTCGCCCGACTCCGTTCGTGATAATAACTAGAGGGAGTTTCAGATGAAGAAAGTAATGATTTCTTATGAGAGAGTTAAAGAAATTACAGGATAATGAGAAGGAAAAGAAAAGGAAGGATATTTTCTTACCGTTCTTTGATCAAGTGCTTGGTTGTGAGTTTCTGCTGGAGGAAGAGTTAGAGTAAGGGAGAGAGCGCAGAGAAATTAAGAAGGAGGAGAAGAGGTAAGGCATATAAAAAGAAGAAGGAGATGACGTTGATTGGTGGGTGAGTAGCATAGGGGGTGGGGCACGAGAGTGGGTGAAGGAAACATGGAGACATGTTTTCCCCTTTTTTTTTTCTTTCTTTATTTGTTTTTTTTTTAACGTTTTATGGGATGTTACAATCCACCTCCCTTAAAATGAATTCGTCCTCGAATTTGAATTAAAATTAGATTAGAGTATTTACCGAAAAGATGAGGGTGTTGTTCACGCATTTCCTTCTCTGGTTCCCAAGTCATGTCGGAGACTCCCTGACTCCGCCATAGGACTTTGACCAAGGGGATCGCCTTATTCCTCAACTGCTTCGTCTTATAGTCCATGATTTGTAGCGGCTCATCACGAAAGTGAACATTATGGGTAACCTCAATCTCCTGCGGCCGTAAAATGTGGGATGGATCTGCCACGTATTTTCGTAACATGGACACGTGGAATACATCATGTATGTTGCCGAGTTCTGCCGGTAACTCCACTCGATACGCTACTGCTCCAACTTTTTCAATCACTGGATACGGCCCAATATAACGAGGCTTGAGCTTCCCCGTTTTACCGAACCTTGCATGCCCTTTAATTGCCTGTACTCGAAGGAATACTTGATCGCCCTCTTCTAGTTGGAAATCCCGTCTCTTTTTGTCTGCATAAGACTTCTGACGATCTTGTGCGACCTTCAGATTAACCTTGATATTCCTGATAACCTCAGTCGTTTCCTCCACAATTTCAGACCCGAAATTTCGTCGTTCTCCGATTTCCGTCCAACATAGTGGAGTCTTACAAGGCCGCCCATACAACGCCTCATAAGGTGGCATACCGATACTAGCATGAAAACTGTTGTTGTACGCAAATTCGCACAACATTAGGTGTCGATCCCACGGAATTTCCCAATCCAATATACATGCTCTCAACATATCTTCCAGCGTTTGGATGGTTCGTTCCGACTGCCCATCTGTCTGTGGGTGATATGCCGTGCTCATCTTCAGTTTCGTTCCCAACGCATCTTGTATCGCATTCCACAGTCTTGAGGTAAAGCGAGGATCTCTGTCAGAGATAATCTCACTCGGCACTCCATGTAATCGGACGATCTCATCCACATAGATCCGTGCCAACCTCTCAACTGTGTACTCTTGTCGGATCGGTATAAAATGTGACGATTTGGTTAATCGGTCCACAACCATGTTGGACGGAAATCGGAGAACGACGAAATTTCGGGTCTGAAATTGTGGAGGAAACGACTGAGGTTATCAGGAATATCAAGGTTAATCTGAAGGTCGCACAAGATCGTCAGAAGTCTTATGCAGACAAAAAGAGACGGGATTTCCAACTAGAAGAGGGCGATCAAGTATTCCTTCGAGTACAGGCAATTAAAGGGCATGCAAGGTTCGGTAAAACGGGGAAGCTCAAGCCTCGTTATATTGGGCCGTATCCAGTGATTGAAAAAGTTGGAGCAGTAGCGTATCGAGTGGAGTTACCGGCAGAACTCGGCAACATACATGATGTATTCCACGTGTCCATGTTACGAAAATACGTGGCAGATCCATCCCACATTTTACGGCCGCAGGAGATTGAGGTTACCCATAATGTTCACTTTCGTGATGAGCCGCTACAAATCATGGGGCTTTGCCAGCTTAGCAAATCCTTCAACGAAACGGCGGTAATAACCTGCTAAGCCCAAGAAACTTCGAATCTCAGTTGCATTGGTGGGCGTCTTCCAATCCATTACTGCCTCAATCTTTGCTGGATCAACCTGGATACCTTGTGCCGAAACAACATGACCAAGGAATCCGATTTCTTGCAACCAAAATCCACACTTGCTGAATTTAGCGTATAGTTGATTTTCTCTCAATCGCCATAAGATTTTCCGCAAGTGTTCTTCATGCGTCTGCTGGTCCGGTGAATATATCAAGAGATCATCAATGAATATTATGACGAACTCATCGAGATAATCCATGAACACCCGGTGCATTAACTGCATGAAGACGGCTGGGGCATTCGTCAACCCAAATGGCATGACCACGAATTCGAAGTGACCGTACCTCGTCCGAAAGGCAGTCATCTGGATATCCTCAGCCTTTACACGGATCTGATAATACCCAGAACGCAAGTCGATCTTAGAAAACCACTTCGCTCCTTGCAACTGGTCAAGCAGCTCATCAATTCTCGGTAAGGGGTACCGATTCTTGATGGTCACTTGGTTCAGGCCTCGGTAGTCGATGCAGAGTCGCATACTACCATCCTTCTTCTTCACAAATAACACCGGTGCTCCCCACGGTGATACGCTCGGTCGGATAAACCCTGTCTCCATTAGTTCGTTCAACTGTTTCTTCAGTTCTGCCATCTCGGTCGGAGCCATCCGATAGGGAGTCTTAGATATTGGCTCCGTTCCTGGCACAACCTCAATGGAGAAGTCTACCTCCCGTTCTGGTGGTAGTCCAGGTAGTTCATCAGGAAACACATCGGGAAATTCCCGAACCACAGCAGTATCTTCCAGTTTTGCTTCTACTTCTTCGGTTGCTGTGATTACAACCAGGAAGGCTTCATTCCCTTTCTCGATCATCCTGTTAGCCTTCAGGGCTGATATAATGGGGTACACCTTCCGTGATCTGTTCCCAACGAACTCGAATCCTCCATTCTCCTCAGTGAACCAAATAGTTCGCTGACGGCAGTCAATCTGGGCTTGATGTTTCGATAACCAATCCATTCCCAGTATTAGGTCGTAACCCCGGATAGGTACGACAATAAGATCTGCAATCAACACCCTCCCACAGATAGTCAAGGGCATGCAATGCAAAATCCCCTGTACTGGAAGAGTCTGTCCTGCAGGTGTACACACCATAAAAGGTGTAGTCGTATCGATTTCCATGATTGACAACTCTCCTGCCTTTTTCTCACTCAAGAAGCTATGTGTAGCTCCTGTGTCAAACAAAGTGAAGCATACAACATCGTATATGCAAATGATACCTGTGATAGCGGCAACATCAGCCTCCTCCACATACTCTTCATCAGTGGCCTCGTAAGTGGTCAATGGCTCTGCAGCAAATGGCTCCTCCACAGTGTATGGCTCCTCCTGGACATCCTCCTCAGCTGTGAGAGCATAAACTCTAGGAGCCACACCCGATCTCCCTTGTGCTGGACGCGGTGGCTTGTTGTTGGTCTGAGGAGCTATGTTCGCAGTGCATCTCGCAGCAAAATGCCCTGGTTGACCGCAGCGGTAACATGTCATGGTGTTACCACAGGGTCCAGTATGGTCTCGACCACACTTAGCACATGGCCTTTTATATTGTATTGGCTGAGCCGGGGTCGTGGGACGATACGCCGGAGCCTTCCCCTTGTCGCGGGGTTGACTCGTCTGTCCAACTCTCATCGGGGGACGGTTGATGTGGGACGATACGCCGGAGCCTTCCCCTTGTCGCGGGGTTGACTCGTCTGTCCAACTCTCATCGGGGGACGGTTGATTGGCACTCTCCTGTAGGGACCACGATCTTGTCTCTTTGCTTCCATCCTCTCCTTCTCGCTGCGTTCCACCTTGTCGAGTTGGTTGATATACCGACTCAACGTAGGGTATTCATGACACTCGATCATTCTCCTGAGAGAAGCACGTAACCCAGCAATGAATTTCTGGATCTTGTACTCCTCAGTTGGCACTAGATGGCCTCCATACTTCAGCAACCGGTTGAATTCCGCTTCGTACTCTCGAACAGTCATGTTTCCCTGTTCAAGACGAAGGAATTCCGTAATACGGTGACTCTGATCTTGCCTCCGGTAGTACTTCTGCTCGAACTTCGCCCGGAACTCTTCCCACGAGAATTGGTGTCCTGCGGGAGCCTCACGTACAACTTCCTCCCACCAGTGGCGAACCGCGCCAGCCAGATGATGGCTCGCTAACTCAGTGCGGTATCCCAGCGGGCACCTGATATAGTTGAAGTGGTGGGTGATCTTGATCATCCAGTCTTCTGCTGCCTCCGGGCTAAGAGAACCCTCAAACTCCGGAGTGCCCAAGGCTCGGAGTTCCTTGACGAATGGCAAGTAGTCCACTACAACTTGCCCTGGCATCCCCTGAGGTGCAGGCATCGGTGGTGGTGGTGGTAAACCTCCTTCCGGCCTTGCTGCCGGTGGAGCAGCAGGCGGTGGCGGTGGCGGTGGCGGTGGCGGTTGCATGCATCCTCGTATGAACTGCCAGACGTTCCCTTGGAACAATGCGAATTGTCGTTGCATTTCTGCCATGTCGTTATTCGGCGGAGGTGCCCTCGGTCCTTGAGGTCGTTGCACAGGTGCAGCACGTCGTGGAGGCATAGCTACTGCGGACAAGAAACTTTTATTTAGTATCGGAACCTGGTGATCATGCTTGGGTTTTTATAAAATCTTTAAAAATCATTTTTACCCATTCCCAAATTCCAGTGAAAATACGAGCACATCCTTTCCCCGTGGAAAGAACTGCTCTGATACCAACATTGTGACACCCGAAACCCGTATCCCGTAATACGAGTTGCGTCACATGGACAAGTAAAATAAAATAACATTTTTCCACTTTTCCGCGGGCATTTAAAACTTTTCTTTTCAGAGTTAGCGAAAGAAACACTCGTATACATATATGATACATTATTCGCAGTTATAATTATACATAATCGAGTGGTAGTATAACATTATTACAAACCTTAAAAGTCAACCACCGATATAAAAACAAATTGTTTCCCAGAATATAGATGTATTAAAAATACATAATTATACATGATCAGTAGTGGTAAGCTGCCCAGGTCTCCGGTGTCCGCTCCTCGGCTACTGCTGCTCACGACCTGAAACGTTGCGTAACAACGTCCTAAGCTAATTGCTTAGAAAGTGAACTCGGGCGTAACCCGGAGTTCCATTCTCATGGTGCCAGGGAAAACACAAGCATATATATATATGTGTGTATATACTAGTATTCTAATAAACAGTAATTGAAAACATGAATCACTGTAAGCACGCAGCAATCACAATCAAGTCCGTACGACAAGTCGGCCGTACGACAAGTCGCAGGACAGAGTCCGTCAAATCGTCTCTACGCGCACCATGCGTAGGTATGTACTCCCCATGTGCGTAGCACAACCACCTCTCTCCTCGGATTCCATCTACTCCGCACACACTCGGAATCCGGCATAAGTATCTTTTTATTTTCTCCGCCCGAACACAACACCCCACCCTAGCATCGATGTCACCTCTCGATGCTAGGCGTGTCACCCGACTCCGGCATTGATGTCACCTCTCAATACCGGGTGAATGTGGCGATAATGTAATCGCGCCAACGTCCGAATGATAGGACGGTTATGGGCACCCCGATGACTTGCGTGGATAGCCGATTGTAGTCGGTACTATTGCGTGACGAGGAACACACGGTTTTTAGAACCGCGCCAACGTATCCGTTAGCGACGGAGCGGACCCCGGGATATGAGTATCCCGAGGATGAGGGCATTACACATACCTGAGATTCGGGCAGATTGGGGTCTCCCGAGGAGGTGGTACGGACTTACTCTGCCAGGTTCGGGCCCGAACCTGACAAGTATTTCCGCGGCGGA